GCCCAGTCACATCATCCCATGAGGGCAAGAACAGAGCAGAGTGGCTGTGTCTGTCCATGTCTCTGTTCTGCTTTCATTCTTTCTCTTTATAAACTCATCAGGAGTCTGTCATAGGGACCCTATCCTAATCACATAAACACTCCCAAATGCCCTCTATTTCCCTGTTTCTTTCAGCACAATATAAACAAGTACCAACAGATGATTTTTTTTTCTTTTTTGAGGGGGAGGATGGTACCTAAAACATAGCAGGAGGCCACTCTTAAAGTCAAAAGTCTTAACATTGTAACTGTTGGCAAAAATGTAGGCATGCATACTGGGAACACATACTCATAAAATCACCTTTTAGAGGATAATTTGGAAATACTCAACCATGTTGAATATTTGCATTGCCCGTGACCCAGAAATCCATGTGGCTATCTGTGAAAACCTGTAAGGATGTTCATGGCACATTGTTTGTAAGAGCATAACATTGTAAATAAATTAATAATCTCTCACTAGAGTGGATATATAAATTAAAATTAACTTAAAATGCTAAATAAACATAGATAAATCTCAAAAATCATATTAAGAAAGGAAGTTACACTTTTTAGCAAATATATATATATATATATATATATATATATGTGTATATATATATAATATATAATGCAATATATGTATATATATATAATATATAATGCAATATAACTGCAAAACAGAATATTTACAATGTTTATTAAAATGTAATTAAGAGTGTGTTTCAGGTGGGATGGTCAAATCTTGGGTCATAAGATTAACGTCGTCTGGTATATGTTTTGTTTTTCAGCCCTTGGAGTATGTCTCTGTGGGTTTATATGTAACTGCATTTCAAAAAGAAGCCTCAGTCAAAATTTGAGGGTGTATGACAGCGTGAATCATTGGTCTTTTGGCATCATGGTTCCCTGTTCAGTCAGCTCTTCCTGAAAGGCTTTGCCCTGCATTGAATATGGAGTTTTATGTTTAACATGTAATGGAAACTCTTACACTTGTAGGTTAATTTCCCATATTTCTTCAGATTCTCCACACAGTCTATGTTCCAAAAACAATTAAGAACTATTTGTCTCAGAGGTAACCTAACCTATAAAACCCAGGTCAATAAACAGAACTCCTTATTGTTGAAATTCAGAATATTCTTATTTTACATTATGATTTAAATTAATACTAAACACTTTTAAATACTACTATCTTCTTTTTAGGAAATGTGTAGTAATCTTGAAATTCTTATTTTCCCATTTTTGCCTTCTCTCCACCCTTAGTCTAAAAATATATAAGGTTAGAAACAGGACACTGATTGGACTGATTAGGCAATGATCTAAACACTTCCTTACTACCATGTAGCTGGGCGACGCTATAAAAGTGGTATCCCTTGCTGGCCCTCAGTTTCTTTATCTCTAAGATGAGATGGTTACTTTCCATTTCTCAAGTCTTTTTAGCTTTAAAAGACTTATGATTTTTATGGGACCAGCAGTTAGCATAATGGTTTTGTCACTGGACTCCCATATAGACAACTGCGGTTCAAGATCCAGAGCCGGTGGTTTAAACTCACGCTTGGCACGTGTGTGTGTGTGCCCAAGATCCGGAGGGAAGAATGGAAGAGAAGGGATTGAGGCATGGCCATCCCCCCTGGGGGGTGATTTCTCACTTCCTGTTTTTCTGTCTCTGTCTTTCTGGGAAGGAGATGCACCCTATAGCAAAAACCTCTCCAAAAAGAAGACTTATGATTTTTCTAACTCTCTTTCACCAATTCCTGCAAAATTTTCACCGGAATATTTTCATACTTGAGCTACAAAGCCATTGTCATAGTGTACTGGCTTGTTCTTTTAGAAAAGAAATACAACATTGATTAAACTACAACCAAAACTAGCACTTAATTAGCATACCGTCAGATTTATTTTTTCCTCAACCTGGTAAATGTAATGTTTGTTTTGTTGTCTTGGTAAACAGTGCATGTGAAGTACACTCAAACCATTATGAAAACTTAAAAACAAAGGAAAAATAAAGCACTTACTGGGCTTAGTTGCCAGATACAAATCTGCACTAATAGTTTAGGGCACTAGATGGCGATCGAAGCGCATCACATAACAAACATTCCTTGATTGGACCGGCATTAAAATCCTAATAATTGAGGCCAGAACAGGTTAATGCATTAGTTAAAGAAACAAAGTCAAATATAATCAGGTGTTGGAGTGTTAGCTAATACTGTGAATATGTTCAGTAACCCAATGCTTATTGAAAGAATAGGTTGTTAAACTGGAAATTAATTTATTGTACTGTTGAGTGTATCTTTAAGCTTATTCCTGGGGCAAGAGTTAGCAATAAACACATGTGTCACATAAAATATGTCTAACTCATAGGTTTCCCTTAATTTTCAGATTTTTTTTCCTTTTTCTTTTTTAATGGCAGTTATTTGGGATGGAATGTACTTCACATATATTATTCATTGATGAAGTACTGTGTTCTTATCAGGAATGTGAGCCCCAAGACACTGGCATTTTAAAGGGGAAATGGCTGACTTACTGTAAGCTGTTGACTGGGCCATTATTGACTGGCAGGCTCAACTGGAAGCACTCTGTTAGTGGATTAGGTTGCCCTGGAAATGCCTTCCTGAAACTCTAATGATGCACTTAAGGGAGCCCTCTGGGACAGGAGTAAAATGTCTTTTAGTAGGCGTGTCTTCCACCAGACTTCTCTTGGGATGATTTGGGAGAGGGTGGGGGCATGTCCAGAGAGATGCTCAGTAAGGAAACAGACCCAGAAAAAGGTTGCAGGTAACAATTTCCTACAGGTAAGAAAAGATAATGACTTGCTGATGTAAATCGTGGGCTTTCTATGGGTGCCAGTGCCTAGTACGTTTATTTTTGAAACAGTGTCAATTACAGAGATAGATTTATTTATTTATTTATTTATTTATTTATTTATTTATTTATTTATTTATTTACTGGGGGATTTATTTATTTATTTATTTATTTACTGGGGGAGGGGAGGTATGCCAGAGGGATGAAGGAGAAAAAGGATAGGTGGGATATGTGTAAACATGGTTTTAATCAAAGTATTTTTTTAAAAACCCACTTTGTAGCTTAAACATTGGGTCATTTTGTATGATTTTTCAAATCTATATAAACAAGTTTCAGAGGGGAAATTTACCCTTCAGTAGAAATTCAACGTGTGTAAAAAGGGGCTTTGTTTGTAGATTTTCCAAATGAAAAATCACTTAGGTTGATCTCACCATTGGGATGGGAGTTATTGCTGGGGGACGGTGGAAGTGGAGGAAGTAAAAGCAAGAAAAAAATGGGGGGGGGGGCAAAGTAAAAGCCCTTGGAAACTCTGGACTCCGGGACAGGACGGGAGGCAAGTGGCTGCGCAGCGCTGCCTACC